TGTGGCCATTGGGGAGGCCCCAGGGCCACCGTGCGCAGCCACTGCGCGTTGGGTATCTCAGGGAGCGGCGCGGAGGGGCCTGCGAGGGCGAGAAGTGGCACAGCGGGGCATATTGGGGYTGGCTAATTAGCAAGAATCATTTAAACAGTAATTGCACAACCTTTATCAGGCATCTCTACYAACTGCTTCTTGCCAGAAGCAATGATGTTTGATAAAGATTTCTGCTGTGTGGAAGCAGGCCTAGGTGTAAAACCGCGAGATAAGGGGATTATGTTCTAGAGAAACCGCTGCCGCTTGGGCTCCGGTGCGGTGTCTGCCCTCGCCTCGCGCCGGCCGGCGCTTGCAGGGCGGCCCTGCCGCTCTCGCCCTGCTCGGGGCAGGAGCATTGGCCATCTTTGCATCTCCATCCTGTTCCTCACCAGCTTCCTCAGGCTCCTAGCTGTTCTCTTTCCCCACGTAGAGCGAAAGACATCGGGAACTTCCAGCCTGTATCTCAGAGCACTGCAGGAGGAGCCTGTAGCTACGTTGCCCGTTCTTTCTTCTGATTCTTCTCATGTGGATTATATAGAAAGAATGTGAGGTGTGTAGGGAGCTGAATTTGCTTAGCTGTGTACTCATTCACGTTTGTACTGAAGCTGAGGGGTTCTCGAAACCCCTTTTCCCCCAGGAAACATTGATGTTGGCAGGAAGATGGGACAGACTTTGCTGGTGGTGGGCTTGGGTTGTGCTGGTCCCAGCTCCCATGAGCAGCAAGATCAGACCCTGACATGAAATTCTTCCAGTCTTCATCACTRCTGCTGAATTCAACTGGTTTAATTGAAGTGAGCCTAAGTTTGTTCTGCCTGGGAGATAAAATCTGTGCAAAGCCAGGGAAGGGAGGGGATTTAGGAGGGAGTACTAGAAGCCGGAGAGCAGGAGACACAGCCCGTGCACAGCTCAYGCGAGGTGGGAATAATGAATCCCGGCAGGATTCCTGCCCTTGGGGTGGCTGGACATGTTATATCTATGCATTAACTRTTTGTGATGGGGATGTCTACGGATGAAAAACATCATTCAAGGCAGAAAAAGAGCCTTGCTCTGAAAAGATTGTTTCCCATCAGGGAAAACTGGGGCTTGCTGCCTCGGCTGGTGAACAGGCAGCCCCCGGGACTGGCGTTTCTTCCTTATGGTTCTGAAAAACTGGACTCTGCCGAGTTGTTTAAGACTTGTCATTTGATTTTAAAGTGGGTAATCATCACTGTGCCTTAACTGCATAGACAAAATTGCTGGTGCTACAGATTTTCTCTGTTAATACTARCGTTAAATATTTATTCTGGATAAGTGTAAGCTAGTAACATGAGGAAACACCTGTGACTGAACTGCTGTGATAAGGATCTCTACTATATGCTTTAATTGTCTATATTTTCATAAAGGTCAGTATATTCAGTGTTAAGTAATTTTAGTTTCATTACCACTCCTTTTGTCTCGCAAATCGGAAAATACTGATGTATTTGATGCACAAATCAGTGTGGTAGGTTGTAAACCCTGGATTCCTGTCTCGAAGGACCTGTGCCGAGTTGTTTAAGCAGCCTCGCCTGACAGAAGCTTTTTCTTTCTCTGGCACTAATTAGGGACTGATAATTGGATTTCTTTAAGAAAACTGAGCAGGGCAAGGCAGCTGCAGATAGTGTGTGAGGAAACCCCAAACCATGCCCAGGTTCAGAATCTGAGAAAGCTCCAGAAATACTTTTCTCTCCTGAGTGACTGCTACCAAGAGGCATTTCCTCCCTTTTCAGTTTGACAGCCTATTTAGTATGGCTTTTTAAAAACAATATAGATGATGAAGTTTTTATTTGAAGAGGGAGAATGATGTCTTGCCTCCTAAAAATAGTGTAGTTGGAGAAGCAGACAGTAAACGTATTKGTTTTATACATATAAATACCAGTTTCTTCATTATCTAGTGATACATACTACATTTTTCCATAGAAGTCAGATAGTTCTAAAGTGCCATACTCGTGTAAATGCACAAATTCTTTTAAYTTCAAGTAGTATTTATGCTCCAAAATAATTTATGTTCTCAAAAAGCAAACAAACAAAAACTCTTAAAAGGACTTTTTTTGACACTGAGGATTTTAAATGTTTTTTTTTTAAGAAAATGATACAGCCTTTTCACAACCCTTGCCATACTCCTGTGAGCAGCTGATCAGGTTTTGAGCTGCACAAAACAAAATACCGCACGTGGGTGACTCCCAGCTCCGTAGCAGTAGTCATCTCTTGTAATTTTACTTGCTCTTAAGACCCTTCTTAACCTTGAGCAGTGCTGTTGACCCTGCAAAGTCAGCGGAGAAATTGGGTTTGCTTTGGCGAGGCTGAGGCTTCGCGCTCCGGGTGCTCGGGAATTGCCTCTTCCTTGGGCACCGGGTTTATTCCCTGTGTCTGGCGCCCGTGGTCGGGSACGGGGGCTTCATTTGCCGGTGCCCGAGGCCCTGCAGGCAGCTGTGCAGCGAGGGCCCTGCTCTCGATAGGAGCCACTCGCAACAAAGCAACTCAGGGCTTCTGTTTCCCTATTTGGGTAGCCCTGCTATGATCCCTTGAAGTATACAGAGCACTTAGATGCAGAAAATACTATTTTTGTTATGATTATAATACATGTAACAAATAGCATTTCCATAATCTTTTATTATTTATTTATTTGTGATTTAAATGGCTATTTGATCTGGTTACATTTATTTCAGATGAAGGAAATATTATATTGCTTCTTACTACAGAGGCTTTTGGCTTTGTTTGCCTTAATGCAACTTTCAAGGTCTTAGTTTGTCTTAATAGTACTTTTAAAAATACTGCTTTTTTTTTTTCTCAATTAAACCTTTCTATAGATTACTGCATCCCTGGGAAATGTGGGATGTCTCTACTGATTTCCAGCCTGGTTAGGCTATTTTGAAAGAGAACTTTCTAATTAGAAATTGGTTTTCTCTGCATCAAGTCCTTCCTTCACGTACTAAACTGAAGCTGTAACGTTTTATTCTTTGAACCGACAAGCACGGGCTGCAGGACAAACACTTTCTGTTGTAGATATTTATTGCCGAGTTGCTCTGTGTGTAGTCCTGATCTCCAGTGAAGAATAAGGAGAGGAAATATAATATATAGTGCTAGGGAGAGGTCCTTCTTTTTCACTTCCCTGAGGTACCCAGGCAGCGAAGCTTGCACTGCAAAGGCAATGTTAAAATTAATAGAAGTGCTTCCTTTCTCTGTGATTATTTCTAAGCGATGTGAAAGCGTGGTTAACTTTCTAGCCATTATAATGTCATAAACGAGCTGGAATCTCACGGACAGACAGGTGAGTTGTGCCCGGGAGTTGTTTCCGTGTGTGAAGAGCAGCGGCTCCGGGGAGATCCCGGCAGCCCCACGGCGGGGAGGGCAGCCCGGCTGCTCCSCGGCGCCCGGGACAGCGGTGCTGAGGGGAAGGGCACCCGGCTCCTGCTTAAGGTGGAAAGCTGGAAACGAGCTGGTGTGCAGCCCCTGCCTTGTGCCCTTCTCTGCGTGTATTTCACTGTCCTTCTGATACTGGTAACAGTTAAGGGTGAAGGACCACAAARTTGGCCCCTTGGGAGGTCAGATCTGCATTCACTCTGATTGCATTTTGCTATTTGCTTAGGCATTTTGATGTTATTGATACGAGCAATTTGGACAAATACTGAAGTAATACTGAAATAACTGCATAGTTAGTTTCTCTCCCATATACCTTACTTCTCCCCTTACTTTTGCAATATTTCAGAGAAGGGATGAGGGTTTTCCTGGTACCATCTAAACCTGAGGTGGTAGCTGAGATTTCAGTCACCACGAGCCCCTTGTCCTGTAGGGGCAGTGACCCAGCACGGAGCCCCCAGGCGATCGCCGTGGGGCCAGACCCACAACCTGCCTCAAATRGGGACCTCTCCCGCTACCTGGAGTGAGGGGGCTGCTCTGGACCCCAGCCCCATTCAGGCCCTGCATGGGGCTGAAAAACACGTCAAATCAAGCCTGTTCTCTGATTTTTTGTGGGGGTGGCAATATCCATTTACTTGAACTGCTGAGCAGCCTTGAATGTGGTGTTTTAGGAGCAAATGTCTGAGGCCGCTTGCACGGATTGCAGGAGGGGACAWGGGCTGATGTGGCAGTTGCTTCTTGCTGTTGTGCTGGCATTTGCTTAAAACAAATCATGGTGTTTTCAAAACTCATGTGAGAATGTGGAGCCCTTGTAAGATAATGTGGTAACATCTGCTGATAATACAGCAGTTTTCCTTTTCTTTCTTTAAGCATGAAAAATATACTTATCCAAACTCCTTTTTTATGTTATCTTATAGAGGAGAATGTTTAAAAAATCCCAAATAAGTGAAGATGTGAATATTAAAAAAAAAAACACATTAAACTACTAAATATATATTTTTAAAGGGTTTTTTAGAATTTGAAGGCTCCAAATGGGCTTTAGGTRAGTTATCCCCCAAGTCTCTCGACTGTGAATGAGTTGGGGACTGAAGCCAATGAGCGAATCCCCTTTGGCCTTAGTGCAGAGGAGTTTCCGGAGGGTCTGCGCGCGCAGCCCGGCTAGTGCGGCTCCTACCTCCTCCCACAGCCCTCGGGCCCCACGCTGGGCCCCTCCATGGGGCGAGAGCTCTGTGCTTTGGACGTAGGTCTGSTGAAGGTGTGTTCCTCAGAGTGACAGTGACACCAGCTGAGTGCTGAGCACTCCTAAAGCACAGCCCTGTTCCTGTGTGCGGCTGGTCTGAGCTTGAAAATCCCATCCCAAGTGCCCCGACATTTCCACAACGGGAGCTGCACTGAGCAGGGGGTTATTGGCCTCTTCCTAGGAAGGCCCTGTGTCCTCCTTATCAGACTTTCATTAATCATTTCACTGGGAAAATCAGAGCTTGTAAAAGCCATACCTCATGTCAACCACCTTAGGKGTTTCTGTGAGTCTGTTTTTTTGATGCAGTGTAGTGGAATTTAGGGAAATGCTGAGAGYTTTGTGTTCAACCTTCAAGGGAAAGATCTGCTGGCAGAGCGCGAGGCACATAYGGGTCATCAGTGTTAGAGGCATCTTTGGCATCACCTGTGCTGACCTTAACAACGTGGAGAAGGTGGCTTAGCCGCTGTCAGCGTGATCAGCAACGCCGTGTGTGCCGCACGTTGGGATGCGACGCTTCCTGGACACGCTGCTGCTCAATAACCACCAAGAGCCTTTGACATCCTGATTTATCCTTTCCCTAGCTAAAATGTAGTGGTGTCACTGCTTTAAATAAAAAAAAAAAAAAAAAAAAAAAAGGCTTGAATTGATCCCAAGAGTTTAATGGCAATATAGCAGGGTTCTTTTTTTTTCCTTCCACTTAGCCATTTGGCAGCGCAAAGGCCCTACTGTGTTCTTGCTTTGAAGTCTGACAAAAGCCTGGCCTGGGTTTGTTACGTGGGGACAAGAGCCTTGCCTTGCACAACAGCTATTCCCCTGCCGCCCTGGGACGCTGGGCTGAGCTGTGCTTTCCCAACAGAAACAGTTAGCTCAGCCTTTATTTTTATACCAGCACATGCTCAGCTGAGACTCGCAGCCTCTGCAAAGAAAATGAGAGCTCCTTCTAACGGGGCATTGTCCTGTCATTAGCCTTACTGGGCTCCACAACGGTTGTGYGGCGTGCCCTGCGCAATGCATTATAATTATATGACAGGAGAACAGTGGAGAATATGGCATAGCRTTTCCCATAGGTTTCCTCTCGGAGATAAGCAAGATAAACATTGGCCTTTGCTTCTCCCAGAAGCAAATAAAAAAAAGAGGAGGCYGGCGGCTTCCTGGAGGCCTCGGACGGCGGCGCCTCCGTCGCGGGGACAAAGTGAGGAAGCCCCGGCCCGCGGTGCGCGGCCTTGGCTTCCTGAGCCCGGTGCCTTATCTGCGCCGCGTCCCCGCGCTCCCGCCGCTCTATCCGCRCGGCTCCCGCCGCGCTGTTTATTTTTCCAGGGCGCTCCCTGCGCAGGGGCAAACAAGGATGCCTTTAATGGCAGCGCTCTGGGTGCGGGCAGCCGCCGAACGGGCCGGGCGGCAGCGGCACCGAGGTCTGGTTTAGGGTTTGTGCGGCTTGACTCGAGGTGACCTGGCTCGGCTTCAGCCCTGACACCTGGGCCACGGAAATGTTTTGCTTGGAGGGGCTTTCCTAGAGCAGGCAGCAAGTCTCCAGTTACAGGGCCAGCAAGCGGCAGCCCCGCTGCTCCCCCTCGCTAACGYGCTTCTGCACAGCAAACTGTGCAAACGGGAGTAGTCGCGGAATGGGGAATACTGTAAAAATTGCAGCAACATTCCCAGGTTTAGTAGTTAGCAAGGCAGCATCAAATGAGGGGTGATGAAAAGCTTCAGAGCTTTGCAATTTTTTGCCTTTTTCTTTCTTTTTAACGTTTTTGTAAGTTATTTCATGATTCTGGAGGCAAGCTTTGTAATGCGCTGACATCTGCTGTGCGTTTCCCAAGGCAGGCCGAGCAGCAAGGCCTTGGGCAGCGCGCGAAGGCCCTCGGCAAGCGGGGCAGGGGGAGAGGAGGAAGGTGAGCGGGAGACCCCRCAGGCTGGTGCCTGTGCAGGGCTTGGGAAGCAGCAGTAGTTTTGCTGACGGGAGCAGCAGCCCTGCTGACTGCCCGCASCCGCTGCAGCTCCGCAAGGGCTGCCCTTGCCCAACCTTGGGGGTTCCGTGCCGAGTCGGGAAGGGGGGATGCGGGGGCGGCTGCGGGTGGCCCGTGCGCCTCGCAGCCCCCGCCAGGGCCGGCCAYGCTTCGAGGGGACCTTCCGGAGGCCCAGGGCAGCACCCAGCAGAAATCTCGTGCCGAAACACCTTTAAATGCGAAATTGACCTTTGTCTGCTGGAATAGTTTAAGTCAGTTCCACTTTCTGTCAAAAATCAATCATTTTTTCTAACAAAAAAAAAAATGAAGCCAAGCTGAGATCTTTTGGTTATGTTTCTCTGCTGAAAATATTTTCAGAATCATCCTTTCTATTTGAGAAGCAAACTGTTTAACTGGCTGTGGGGAGGAAGCTCTTCCACAGAAAAGGTTTAAAATTCCCTAGTTCCCCTGGAAAGGGGGGGAGCTTCCTAGCAGCTGGTTTCTGGAAACCCAGACTGGTGCCAGCTGCAGCACCCAGGTGAGCAGAGCCCTGTGCCTTGGGTACCAGGAGCCAGCTGGATGGGCGCCCTCTCATCTCCTTCCCTTCTGACCTGCTGGTAAAGCTTGTTTTGTAAACGCAGAGTTTTCTGGGGGGGGAAGAAAAAAGAGGAGGGAAAAGTAGAAGAAAAAAAAAAAAAACTGCAAATGTGGCATAAGGGCTAGTTTCTCCTTTTCTGAGTTGCCAGCAAATCCAGAGCCCTGAGTGTGAATCTGCCCTTGTAGGTAAGGGCAAGGGCTGACAGTACACAAATCACTGAAACAAAAGGTGCATCTTTCCCTGGTGAAAAACCCTAAACAGGAGGAGAAATCCTGCTCCTGTTGGAATCAGTGGGGTAATTGCTCCTGAGCTTGGGAAGAGGCAGCACTGGGCTCTGTGCTGTGCTGAGAGCCCTTGATAAGCCCTGGTGCTTCTGTGGGGCTGCACTTGTCCTGCAGCAGGAAAAGGGCTGCATGGCTTCCCTGTCGGCCGTGCAGGTTGGGAGGGTCCTCGGGAATCCTTCTCCGACTGCACATTGCGTTTAATTGGTTGCTCTTGATTTTGGGGGTTCAGTGGGAATGATGGCTCCTTTGGAGACTTGGGGCAGAATACCCCATGCATCATTCTTGGATCATTTTTGGTACTTCCTATGGCCAAGCTCCAAATAGCACCTTTTCAACCCAAAATGTCTGCAATCAGTCACGATGATCAGCATGTAAACACAGGAATTCGCTGGTACCTGTAGGGACGCTGGGTGTTACTTAGTTTTAAGCAACCATAATTAGGAAAATCGGACGTGGAGTGGTTGCTGGAGGGTCTGAAAGTGAGGAAAACTTGGCTATCTGCCTCCCAAAGATGGTTCTGTTTAAATGCTTGAAGTCCCCAAAATGTGACGGACAGTTGAAATGTCAGGTATCTCATTGCAGCAGTGTGCAGATACTCRGGCTTTAAGCAGGATTGTGATTGCCAATACATGAAGCTCTTGGGTCAAGCTGAGCCTCTTTTTCTACTTGAGAGTTTAAGGCATGCACAGGGCTGCGTTTGTTTCCAGAGCGGCTCTCTGTGCTGATGCCGGGATACACGGAGCACTAAAAGCTAACAAATCACTCAAGGCAAAAAGGTTCCCAAAAAAGCCAAACCCTTTCATTTCCTCTCCTACTTAYTTGAGTCAGATAACATCAAGATTAAAAAAAGAGCCAGCCGTCCAGCCTGGCCATTAAGAAAGAACTACAAGAGAAAAATTTTAATTTTTTGCAACTTGAAAATTATGCCAAACATCTGCTGAGGCAGGGACTCTCTGTGCAGTGCACATTGTGCTGTGCAGGGGCTTTGCAGTCCTGCCCCACCACCAAGCCCTGCACGCTGTGTGGCACCTCTGCGGCACAGGGGCTGGTCCCGCTTAACACCAGGCACCGGTGGCCCCGGGGAGGTGAAAGTGGGCGGCATAGAGCTGCCCATGCCGCAGGAATCGGGATGAGCAGGTTACGTGTCACTGTACCGTCCCGGTTGTGTTGTATTTGTATTGTACTATCCCATTTGTTGCCTAACAAAAGAGRGGAGTTGCAATCAACTGACAGGTTGCTTGCATCCTGCTCGTGCCCTGTTGGGTCATCAAGCACCACAGACTCAGCCACTTTGCCTCAATATACCACCAAAATGGGTAAGATTTTGAAGRTAAGGATAACTTGCTGTTGAGTAGCGTAAGCGTTGTATATCTCCTGAGTGTAGTGTGGGTGCTGTGGGGATTCCTGTGGGCGCTGGGGCCCTTTTCCCCCTTGGAAGCGGTGCCCGGGCCAGGGTTTTGCACCAGCTCTGCTGGCAAAGGGTTCAGGGGCTGGGCTCAGCCTTGGTTCTGCCCCGGGGTTTGGTGTGAGCCTTGGGTCGCAGAATGGGATAATTTGTGTTTGATAGAGGTTTGATTTGCTTCTGGAGCATGTGTAAGTTCTTCYGGTAGCTGTTCCTATACAGAGTATATTCCATTTATTTGTTAGCAAAGACAGCTACAAAACAAATGAAAAAAAAGGTTAAAAATTGACTTAAATGTAAGTAAATATGATGGAATGAATGGGCTGAACTTATATGTCCATCTCCGGGTGGATTTGACRCGGGCCCCTTCTGAGGTGCCAGGGCAGTCGGTCTGGGTCGGTGTTTTTGGGTGCGGGGTGTGCGCTGCCCTGCGCGGGCTGGAGCCGCCGCGCCGGCCCCTGCGCCGCGARCCTTCCCCGCCCGCGTTTGCGCGCGCGGAAACGCCGAATAACGGAGCGAGAAACACAGGGACCTCGGGGGGGCTCTGCAGGCAGAACCGAACAGCCGCAACCGAGGGGGCTGAGCATAAGCTGAGAAATTCACATTTCTGAGCGTTTCTGTTGCTGCTAAGAGGGAAGTGGAGTGCTTGGGGCTTGCACTGTGCTTTTCAAGCAGCTGGTGCCTTGGGGCATGCAGGGATTTAAAACATTTCAGGGGTTCAAGTCACCTTCCACTGACACCAGGACCTCGGTTTCCCAAGTTCAGCGTGCGTTGAAGTTACGCATTCACATGTTGAAGTTTGGGGGGGAACTTTATGTAATCTGAAGTTGACTTTGGCCAAAGTTTCGAAGTTTTTTTTTTTTCTTCCCCTCTAGAAAGAGGAAAATAGTTTCTGTCACATTGCTTACAACGAGTCCTCTTAAGTTTGCATGTCGTTTGGTCCAGCAAAGCAGAGATTTGCTCTGAAATGAAAAGCAGTCACATCACAGTCTTTTTAGACACCCGGTAGTTACATTCCCCCCAAAAAACAAGATGAGGAGCCGGGGCTCCCAGCCGCTCCCGGGGCGGATTAACCGCAGCGAAGCGCGGGCTGCCCGAGCTCCGCTCCCAGCGCCAGCGGAGCTTGGGGCGCGGGACTGCCCGTTTTGGGCGGCACAAATAATCTCCCCACGTTGTTTCCTCGACGCGATAGTGTCGTACACCCTGCGTGGAAACAGTTTCGCGGGTTACCTGGCTCAGAGCCGCAGTTGTGCTCAAAGAAACGCTGCAAGGCGTAAATTCTCTTTGCTGTCCTTACAGTGGTCGGAAGGCTTTTTCTTGAGACTTCCCATTTAAAATAATCTAAAATTCGTAACTTTTTTTTTGCTCTAGTTGCGTTTTCACCRAGCCCAGCAATTTGTGCCACAATCAAAACAAATTCGTTTTTCGATTAGCTGAAACAGCTCAACCCGAACTAAAAGGTTGGTCCATTAAATAATGTCTATTTCTTAGTAACGAGAGCAGAAGCACCACCTGATTTGACGCTAATTTTGTTGCACAAACACATACACACACACGCGCACACACACACAAACAAAAAAAAAAAAAAAAAAAAAGAGCGAGAGAAACAAAAACAAAACAAAACCAAAACACAACGACTGTTTTTTTGCAATTCGAAGGTGCCGGGACGTGAGCGGACTCGCCTGCTTCCTTTCGCTTTGAGGAAAAATAATCATCGGTTTCTCGGCGTTAAAAGGAGCAGCTCGCTCTGCCCGCGCCCGGGGAGCCCGTGGCGGTCTCGGACACGCGCGGACACGGCCAGGCCCTCCTGCGGGTCGGGCTGCGCTAGCGGAGCGGGGAGAGGAGCTGCGGGGGGCAGGATGCGGGATACGGGGTGCAGCGTGCGGGGCTCGCTCCCTCGCGGGCCTGCACGCCGAGCACAGGCACCCTGCCGTGCAGACTGCAGAAGCGGAGCGACGGGGACACAGGAAAGGGGAATACGGGCAGAAAGGGTGAAACTGTCTGTCTTGCGTAGCGAGGGAGTAGGAACAGGCTCAGAGTTAACTGCACGGTGAAAACGTGGAGGGCGAGGGAGTAGGAGCAGGCGCAGGGCTAAACGGGGCAGTGGAAACCGTCCTTGCAGCAGCAGCAGCTGCAGAGCACGAGCGGCTCTCGCGGAGCTTCCCCGGGGGCGGCGGGGAACCGAGCGCGCCCGGGACGCTCCCCTTGCGCTCTGCTGAATCGGTCTCTATTCGATACGGTTTCAGATCGTGATAAGGTTGCTCTGTTCCTCGTGAAGCTCCCGTTATGGATGTGCAGCCATCACGGGCTGCTTCGTTTTTCCTGTAAAAACAGAARTATCTGCGCGGCTGGGAACTTATAAAAACAAGCCCGGAGCTACCCGATTTTTTTTACCTTTACAGCACAAACGAGAAACTAAATTCTGCCCTGCAGAACATGCGGGGACCTACACGGGCTTTGCACAAGGACGCGTATTCATGCGGAGGAACCACTTCCCAGGTGACCGAGTCCCTGCCTGGAGGCTGCGACTTCCAGCGCGTTCCTTAAGCGCCGCGGCCGGGGACAGCTCAGAGCGGCGGCGCCCTCAGGTCTCGCCTCCCGGTTCCGCCGAAACCGCGCGGATCGGGGCGGTTTCAGGGGAATGGGCCCCGGTTTCAGGTGTCCCTTCGCGGGGGCCGCGGCGCCGCTCGGCTCCGGTCCGCAGGTGACACGGGGAAAGTCCTTGTCGCCCCCGTCCTGTAGCAGCGCGGCCGAGCGCTCCGCGGGCCCACAAGTGCTGGATTTCCGCGGGACGCTCTCGTAAACGTGGCTGTGAAGGACAGGCTAAAAAAGCCGTGTCCACACTCTGCTTTATTTCCTTATATTCGTTATGGCAATAAATAATCTTAACGATTAATGGCAGCAGCGGCGAGAACAGCGAAAAAAAGGAAAAAAAA